TTGTTACCAATTAATTTGTAAATCATGATGCTTGTTTGGAGATCAATGTAAAAAAGGCAACGCTTATTGCGAATATATGATTGGAGATCATTTCTAGCTCATGCAACATGTTTTCAATCAGTGATCTTGCGAGTGAAATCGTGCAGTAAGATCAATTGTTCTTATCAAGTGGAAATGAAAGGGACAAGGAATGCTACGATTTCACACACTGGAACAATTTAAGAGAGAAGTAGAGGTATTTGCGAGTGCAACCGATCTTCCATTTCGAATATATTTGCTCAGCATCCTTAGAGTGATTTAACACACGTTTAAAAAAATCACTCCTTTATCCTCTCTAGTAACTCTTACTACAAGGTTTACCAGGAATATCACACTTAATATCATAGAATAATTGAGTTACTACTTTGCAGAATCCAATAATGATGATTAATGGTTTAAGAGCTCTTGGTTACAGATCCAAGAATGTTGCATTCAATAATTTTACCAAAAAATCTGCACAATTGACTACCATGTTGACATCCAATAGTGTGAGAGGTGTGCACTCAACTTCAACAGCAAATATTAGTTCAAATTCTGCTGTTTCTCATCAAAAGAGTGGTGAGAAAGAAATTGGTTCCCTTTCTAATATTTTTAAACAGATCAAGATTAGTTCTGATTCGAATAAGGAAATTAACTTTCATCAAACCGAGAATCAACATGTAATTTTTAAACTCCCAGAGCAAGCCAATGAATTGTCACTTTTATTGAAATCTAATCCATCAATCCAAATACTTGACACCATGGATTTGCAAATCAAGGATTTGATCAAGTTGGAAAATCCTTCTCTTCATCCAATGTCAAAAGAATTGTACGATACTAAGATTACTGAAAAGTTGAATGGAAAGTCAATGCAAGAATATGGAAATTGGGTTTATTATCCATGGAGAAATTCACTTGTCCATGTTTTGGATAAAGATGATTTCGTTCGTGTGAGAACTATTAGAAATGTTTCCAAGATTCTACCAGAGGAACAACAAGCACTTGAGAAAAAGACAGTTCTTGTGATTGGTCTCAGTGTTGGACAGGCTGCTGCTATGGTTTTGGCCATGGAAAGAAGTTGTGGTCATTTAGTCTTGGCAGATTTCGATCATTTGGACCTTTCGAATATGAATCGTCTAAGAGCTAGCGTCATGGATTTGGGTATTATGAAGGGAACTCTCATTAAGAGAGCTATTGCTGAATTGGATCCATACCTCAAAGTTACATTCCTTGAACAAGGTTTAAACAAGGATAATATTGCCACAGTTTTGGGAAGTTCTCCTGAAACAAAATTAATTGATCTTGTCATTGAAGAATGTGACAGCTTTGACACCAAAGTATTGGTTAGAAAACATTGTAGAAAAGTACAAATTCCAGTTGTCATGGAAACAAGTGACAGAGGTCTTTTGGATATTGAAAGATTTGATTTGGATAAGGATTATCCAATTCTTCATGGACTCATTCAGAAAGAATTGTTGGAAGTTGACCAATTTTCACCAGAACAGAAACGTGCCTTGGTTGTGCAATTCATTTCAATTCCTCTGGCTTCAAAGAGGGGTGTAGAATCATTCTTCCAAGTTGGTAAGACACTCACTTCTTGGCCACAACTTGCTTCTGAGGTGCAATTTGGTAGTTCAGTTGCTGGAATGGTTACAAGAATGATCCTGTTGGGTGAAAAAGTTCCATCTCAAAGACAATACTTGGATGTTAAGCAACAAATTGAGAATTACGTAAAAACTGAACCAAAATTGTAACATTAAAGCAATCCAAATAAATTGTAACTTTTTAGCCCGTTCTTAAATTAATAAATTATCATGCAAAAGGCTACAGCGAGCGGGGCTTGAACCCGCGACCTTAAGCGTGTTAGGCTTACGATCTAACCAACTGATCTATCGCTGCATACATTCATTTTCTTATTTTCCCTCACATATTCTTTTACACAATTCAATTTTTAACTTGAACCACTCGGGCAAGCACAAAACAAGGACAAACATTAATACATACTCAAAATCCATCAGCACTCATCCTTTTTGCATTGACATTTACCTTCCACTTGCTGAAACAAAATACTAGATCAATTTTTCACCATTTTTCTTCCACCACAAAAAAATTATCATTAATCATCAAAATGTCCACTGTTGGCCAACCAATTGATTGTAAAGCTGCTGTTGCTTGGGCTGCTAATCAACCACTTTCCATCGAAACAATCACCGTTGCTCCTCCAAAGAAGGGTGAAGTCAGACTCAAGATTTTGTGTACTGCCTTGTGGTATGTTGAGAGTTTGTTTTTTTCATTCCGTTCGCTAATGAAGGCTTACCACATCACGGAATTATTTTTTAAATTAATTAATATTTGATGATCGAAATTGATGATAATTAATTGGAATGCAAATTGTTATTATTATTATTTGGATGAATTATATAGTCATACTGATTATTACACTTGGAGTGGATCTGATCCAGAAGGTCTCTTCCCTTGTATTTTGGGACATGAAGCTGTTGGTATTGTTGAAAGTGTTGGTGAAGATGTTGAAAGTGTTCAAGCTGGTGATTATGTCATTCCTTGTTATACTCCACAATGCAAAGGTTTGTTTCTAAAATTGACTTGTCAAAATTAATTATCTGCTGTCAATGTAAAAAGAATGCAAATGGTGCAAGTCTCCAAAGACTAACTTGTGTCAAAAGATTAGAGGTACTCAAGGAAGAGTAAGTTACTTTCAAAGATGCTTGTTCTCTAACATTGACATTAGGGTTTGATGCCTGATGAAACTACTAGATTCACTTGCAAGGGACAAAACTTGTATCACTTTATGGGTACTTCTACCTTCTCTGAATACACTGTTTTGCCAGAAATTGCTTGTGCCAAGATTAATCCAAAGGCAAACATGGTTGGTGCTTGTTTGTTCGGTTGTGGTCTTTCAACTGGTTTGGGAGCTGGTGAGTATTTCACAATTTTCAAAATTAGGAATTGACTGAATTATTCTAAATGATCATGTGTGGATAATTATTCTCAATCAATAATTGATGTGGTAATCTTGATTATTTGGCATTTGATAATAATGATGCTTGTGTGGATGTGAAATGTTTTTTTAACAGCTTTGAACACTGCCAAGGTTGAACCTGGATCAAACTGTGTTGTTTTTGGATTGGGTGCTGTTGGTCTTGCCACTATTTTGGGTTGTAAGAAGGCTGGTGCTGCCAGAATCATTGGTGTTGACATTAATGATAAGAAGTTTGATGTTGCCAAGAAGTTTGGTGCCACTGAATTCATTAATCCAAACAATGTTGAAAATGTTGTTCAAACTATTATTGATACTTTGGATGGTGGTGCTGATTATTCATTCGAATGTGTTGGTAATGTTCGTCTTATGCGTCAAGCTTTGGAATGTTGTCACAAGGGTTGGGGTGTTTCCACAATCATGTACGTATTTACTAATTTTTATTTCAGTTATTAACTTTCATTTTAAAGTGGTGTTGCTGCTTCTGGTCAAGAAATTAGCACTCGTCCATTCCAATTAGTTACTGGTAGAGTTTGGAAGGTATGTTTTGCTTTTTTTCAATTAATAATCTAATATTGGAATAGGGTACTGCTTTCGGTGGTTATAAATCCAGAGATGATGTTCCAAAACTCATTGAAGATTACATGAATGGTGGAATTGATGCTGATGCTTTCATTACTCACCACTTTGATTTTGAGGATATTAACCAATCTTTCGATGCTCTTAAGGGTGGAGATTGCTTGCGTGCTGTCATGTATTTAGATAAGTCTTTGAAGAAATAAATTATGTGGATAATTCTTTTAAGTGAAATATTTGAACGGAAACAGTTTAGTTTTGTATTGAATTTTTGTAATGGGAGATAAATTCATTTTGTATCAATTATTTCAATGGCCATCACAAATTGGCGATCAAAAACAGTTCTCAATCAATACCTATCATCCTATTTACAATAACCGTTATCACAGAGTCAACAAACATTTTTGAATCTCTCCTTCATTTAGCACTCAAACTTTTTCAATAAATAGTAAGACAGTAAAAAGTTCATTTTAATCATACAAAAAAACAAATAAAACCAGCAAAATGTCCTCAGTCAGTGATAATAACATGGGTCCTGTTCATGATTGTACACCTCAAATTGATGAAATTGTCTCTCAGCCTCATATAAAGCACGCAGCCATTCATTCTCTTCATCAGAAACATCATGAGAGTACTGTCCATCATTTCCATGATGCTCACCTCCACGAACACATTGCCAATTGGAAGGTTTTAAAGTATGCCGAAGAAATTGTAGAGTACGGTACTAATTATTTTATTAAGGTTAATATTGGAGGAGATTTGTGCATTCATATTAGAGTGCATCGTCAAAGACATGCTCCAATTTATGACTTTTATAGTATTCATGAAACTATTAAGCATAATGAGGCTTCTTGTATTTGGTCTAATTCTGAACCATTAGTGTATTTTAATTATTAAACAATTGTTCATTTTCTAGTTGAGTTGTGACAGATTTCCTAGCTTTTTTGAAACACGTGTCTGTTTGTACATATTAGACTATGTCAAAAGTGTATTTCCTATGAGTATTTTGATCAAAAAATGTTAATTGTTGCAGAATATACTTTTTCCTTTCGTTGGAACAATTTTTTTTAAAGTAAAAAATATCTTTGCAAAAAAATAGTGCTCAAACTGTGATGATTATCTTGATCAATATAAGACTTGAAATTTGAGAATATTGTAGATACGCTTGTGTTCTTTTGATGATTAAATTAATAAAAAATAAAAACAAGAATTACCAAAGATAAAACTAATTTCGGAGTGCGTCGACCGGGAATTGAACCCGGGTCACGGCGATGGCAACGCCGTATTCTACCACTAAACCATCGACGCCTTCTCATTGTTATTACAAAATAGAAATTGTGACACTGAATGAATTACAATCTTGGCAATTTTTTGAAGAGCGGTGGGACATTTACTCGCACACAATATCCAATATCGTACACACATTATTGAACATTCTCCCTCTTTTTAAACCATTTCTGATATCAGAACATCAAGAAACATATGATGAAACACTTCTTACAATACTCCTTAAATTTTCCAAACCCCAAAAACTGTGTTTTCCCTCCTTTGTCAACTTATCTTCTTTCAGAATATTCTATTAATCACATTACAATTTTCACACGTAATTTTTCACTTAACCTCTCAACTGCCTTTCACTTTTTCATCTCCTCTTCACAAAATATCAATCCACAAACATTCCAACTAACATTCGCAGCACGATCTTAACATCCTCGTTCAGAAACACCAAGATTGCTGTGTGAAGTTTTGATTTTTAGCCTTTGAAAAAATATTCAAAAAAAAAGCCTTTGAAAAAAAAATGAACCAACAACAAATGGAGAGAGCACAACGTCGTATGCAAATGATCGGCTCTCATTTGCAAACAACACCGTCATCATCATCAATAATAATATGGTGTCTTCTAATGTTTGCGCTGGTGGCGTTCCAACTTCTCCTACTCTATTGACAATGTCCAAGGAAAAGATGGGTACTGGTATTCCAAACAAGAGACAAAAATTGGCCAAGTGGAACGGATGGGGATACAAGGATACCGATTTTACTATGGATGAAAAGAAGGACGTTTATGTTACTGGTGATCGTTATGTTTTATCTGGTAAATGTATTCCTGATTTCCGTCCATGGTTTGAAAACTTTACTGGTTTGGACACTAGATATGCTTCTCCTGCTCAATCTTGGCCTGAGATGCAACAAAAGATCCACAAGCCAGTAATTTGTAAATCATTCGTTGATGAACTTAAACAAGCTAATTGCTTCAAGTATTTGTCTTTTGATGATGAAGTCCGTTTGATGCACTCCCATGGTCACTGTTGTCAAGAAATTTATCAACTCAGATACGGAAAATTCAAGAGACTTGTTGACGTTGTCATCTATCCAGATTCACACGATCATGTTGAAAAGATTGTTTCTATTGCTACTAAATATCCTGAACAATTAACAATTATTCCATATGGTGGTGGTACTAACGTCACTCAAGCTTTGCTCTGTCCAGAAAATGAAAAGAGAATGATTGTTTCTATTGATACTCAAGAAATGGATCGTATTTTGAGTGTTGATTTTGAATCCAATACTGCTGTTATTGAAGCTGGTGCTATTGGTATTGAATTACAAAAGGAACTTAAGGATAAGTTTAATTTGACTCTTGGTCACGA